GAATGCGTGTATACCCACTGTATACCCACTGTATACCCACTGAATGCTTATTAAGTGTCCAACCTTGGACAATCCGTCCACAGTTCTACCAGGCAGGTATCTTCACCTATCTTTCAGGATAAGGAAGCAAAAGTCTGGTGGGGTGGTGGAGGGAGGAGCTAGCTTCCCTTCCTGTAGTCACATAAAGATCTGTCCATCTGCCTGACTCCAGCGCCCAGGCTCTCTCCACTCCATCGCAATGACTGTCTTTTTCTGGCCTTTGCCATCCACCCCTCGAATGCTTCTTTCTCCACCAGGGCATTTGGCATTTACTTACCTACTGCTTTGAGTGACAGCTCTTATGATTCGACTTTTTAAGAGAGCAAAGATGTCACACATACACCTCTCCCCTAACCCTTCCAAGCTCCTTGAAGAGAAAGCCCAGACAGCAGTTCCCCAGCTGGCCCGATGCTGAGCAAAAGGTGGGCCCTTGACTGTTTACCGAGCCTTCATTTAGAGAGTTAACAACCTTCCGTGTGGCTCTGGCAGCAGAGGCCAGGCTTATGGACTGTCAGGGCTTTGGCAGGATCCCACGTTCTCAGGATGGCTCCAGCCCAGGAAATAACTAGCTTTGGCCACAGTTTGTGGCGGGGGTGGGGGTGGGGGCGCTTACAGAGCCAGGGCAGTGGCAAGGAGCCTGCCACCTCCTGTTGCTCGCTCGGCAGCTGGTGGATTTGCCATCCCTGCGTGTGTGACAGAAAGCTCTACTCTGTCCAAAACAGCCTCCAAGTTAGTCAGGGAGAAAGCTTATGACCAGTGCTTTTCCTTGAGGGTGGAGGGCAGAGGCGTGAGAAGCTTTCTGAATAGGAAGGTTCCAGAGATAACTGAGTTGGTAAAGTGCTTGCTTTGTAGACTCTAGTTTCCCAGAACCCATGCTAGAAAGAAAGAAAGACAGAAGAAGGAAAGAAAGAAAAGAAAGAGGAAAGAAGAGAAAAAAAATGAAAGGAAGGTAGGAGGGAAGGAAAGAAGGAAAGAAGGAAAGAAGGAAGGAAGGAAGGAAGGAAGGAAGGAAGGAAGGAAGGAAGGAAGGAAGGCTGATGAGACAGCACTTGTAATCCCAGCATTGGAGAGACAGACAGGCAATCTCTGGGGCTTGTGGCCAATGAGAGACCCTGTCTCTATAAACAAAGTAGATGGCCCATCAGCACACACATACCAGTTCCCCTAAAAAACCATGACTTGAGCATGTGCACACATGCGCTCGTGCGCGCACACGCGCGCACACACGCGCGCACACACACACACACACATGAAGGAGAAAGAATATAAAGAATTCTCTTGTCCTCTTTTGCAGCACTGGGGATGGAGTCGGGAGCTCTGTGTAGACAAGGCAAGCACTCTACCACCTGAGATCCTTCTCAGAGAGGCGTTTGGTTTTGTTTTCTAACGGAAAAAAATACAGACGTTTTGATGATTGTAGGTTATAATCAAAAGATGGAGTTAATGTCTTTCCGAGTGAGAGAGAGAGAGAGAGAGAGAGAGAGAGAGAGGCAGACTACTTCCCCAGGGGTGAGTAATTCTAGCAGAGGGTTGAGCTGCAGAGACAATGCTATCAAATGTCAAGTGGGGAAAATCATGCCCGGCCACCCGTCCTGTGTCTGAGCTTCTGTCTTTAGCACTTAACAGGTGAAAGATGATTTTGGAAAACAGACTGCAGCTTTTTACCTTGCAGCCCGATGCCAGCTTAGGAAAATCATTACCTGTTTTCTGAGAAGCACTTTTACTTTAAGTCTAACTTGGGTTTCTGAAAGTTTTCTTCCCCCTGCTCAAATGAGATTAGGAGTGATTCCCATCCAAGCTTTGTAGCAGGACACGGTTTCCTATCTGAAGAAAAGCAGCTAGGCTGGCACACAGAGACAGTTCAGAGTCACACTGCTAAATCCGTTGAACAAACCGGCCACTCAGTTAGCAATGCCGTAATCATTACTTGACTGATCCCGGGGCTAGGAAGAATTGTTCGGCAAGTTTTCTGGCTCACGTGGCAGCTGCTGTGTGGCTTTGTGGGGGTGGGGCATAGCAACAAACAAGACTGAGAAGTGAGGTGTCAAGCTGGGGAGGAG